TGAGAGCTAGAGACCAGTGGAATCTAGTCCTCAGGGTAGGGCCCAGGGAAGACAGAGAGTAAAAGAAGTCCCAGAGACCAAGACCTGGCAAGGAAGGTCTGGAGGACCTCGGGGTCTGCTGATGTCGAGTATGAGCCGACTGATTGGAGCAGTTTGCCCTAAAACCAGAGCCCGAGCAGGGAAGAGCCAGGGAGAGAAGGTGCAGCCTGGTCAGTGCCTGCCCATAGCGAGTGCAGCAAGAGGCCTGTGTTCTGTTCCACTGTGTGCCCCCGGAGCAGTCCTCCCATGCTGCAAAGTGGTGTGGCACTGTCACCCAGGAGGACCGAATGCTGCCCTGGGAAATGCCCCCTGGAAGAGGTGCAGCACAGCCAGGGAAGGCCAACGCACCATCTTTAGAGGATTGCCCTGGAGTGCAAGTGGGAGCGACAGAAGGGCCACTGGCAGGAGACCAGGCAGGGGACAGACAGCTCCCCGAGCACCCAGGACAAGGTAGGAGGTGTGTACTGCAGCAGCCGGCCCACAGCAACCCGGGGGGTCTAGGGCGCTGGTCTCTGCCCTCCTGACCTCTCAGTGCTCCCAGGAAAAGGCTCAGCCCGAATGTCTGCCTTGCTCTTAGCAATCCCAGTCCCTATAACTTTACACCTCTTCTTCTAACTGGGAAATGGATGATTTCTCCCCAGTGAAGCCCAGCCCCTTTCTTACCTTGAAGGTCAGTGAATTAACCATTCTGTGCAGCAGGGGAGGGTCTAGGTCCAGGGTGAGGGGTGTCTGCTCTGACCTCTCCATTCCTTTCTCCCCATTTTATTCGAACTTTTCTCCCATCTTGCTCCCTGGATGACTCCTATATCATGGGGATCCAGAGAGCATTTCTGTCCAAACCTTCCAGATTGATCTCTTGGGGGACCCACTTTGCCCAAACATTGGAGCAGCCACGAGGATGATGTCCCCCTTCACTTGTAAAATCGCTAGAAACAGGCTAGCTGCCAGTGTGGGCAGGTGATATAGGTGTCACAGGAGGAGAGTCTCGGGATGGCGCTTCTGGGGTGAACCCTTTGTCTACTTAGCGAAGTCCTGGAGTTCTCCTGCGTGGCCCGTAGGTCACAGTGGTATTGGGTGTTGTTCGCATCAATGCTGTCCATCACCACCACCACCCCCAGGTTCTCCTCTCCTCTGGGGACTGGAAACATGACCGTCTTGGCTCCTCTGTCATTGGGTGAGGCCATATGACTCGTTCCAATCAGTGAGCGAAAAGGATGGGATTTCTTGGCTGTAGCATTGAGAGCGCAGCTCTCACCTGTGCGAGAGCCTCCAGAATTTCCTTCCTCCTAACTAGACAATGTGACCGTATTTGAGGTCAAAGTCATGCTTAACCTCCATCCCTGAGTGATTCCAAAGGGCAAAACCACTGCCCTGTTTTTAGTGTGTTAAGCATATGAGGTGTTGGGATTGCAAAGTACCACAGTGTAACCCAGCCTATCCTGACTGATACCATCATCTGAGAAGGAAAAGAAACAGGCTTTCTTTTGACATGTGTATCTAGGAGACGTGATGATTAAATAAGCATTGGCATTAGGGGATATTGCCCTTATCATCGCTGATTGTGGATATTACAGAACCATCCGAATGGGAGAGAAAAAGTAGAAATGCATGATCTGTGCAAAAGGAATACAAATGATAATCACTTATGAGATCTGCTCCTTGGATGTTCCTTGTGGCTGGAACAATTCTGCATTTCATTAGGTAAATTGTCCAGCACAGGTTGGGTTCCCGAAGAAGCAGGTTGTGAGCTAGAGATCAGTGTGCAGGAAGTTTGTTAGGTGTTGGATTCATAGCCCGCGGGAGGGAAGGGGTGGGAGGAGGCGGGAATGGGCAGAGGGAGAAGCCAAGTGTCCCTGGAGTCTCTGTGGAAGCTTCAGCCAACGCTACCAGGGGTTCTAAAGGTGGAAGGACCCTTCAGAGCTCTCCCTAGAGGGCCAGGTGTCTATGTTGATGGGTCACTGGACACGGTGCCCTAGGAAGAGGGTGTGGCTTTGGACTAGGTGGTTCTCTTCAGCTGCCACAGGCGCTAGGGGAGACCAGGGCATTCAGATCCAGCCCAGGGGCTGCTCTCATGATGAATGCAGACAACTCAGTTAGGGCAGCCTACAGCAGTGGCCGGATTTTGGAGGGTGGGTATGCATGATCCTCAGGGGTAAACTCTCTCTCAAGAGAAGCAAAAATAACTGGGAGTGATGCTTTATCATGGGGACTTAGCTATGTCACTAACAGCTCAAGATGTCCTTAGGAGGCTTGAAGAATGGGCTGGAATCTGGGGACTCGGTACGCATGCACACATACCGGCTGGCCTTTAGTAAAATGCATACTTGGGAGTGTTTCACTACTGAGATGATGCAAGTCAAAATCGCCACAGGGCACAGATCCCACCGCTGGCACCTGCTGGGCCCTACTGACTCTGCCTGGTGGGCAATCCCAACTAAACAGAGACCAAAAGGACACTAGTTTCATCCTGACTTTGTAGCCTCCTGCTTGGGGCTTTGGCCCTCAGAGAGCAGCGAAAGTCGGCATAAAAAGGAATCATCCTGTCCATCAGTTTTATATATGCAGAACATATATGCATGTAGAGATGCACATGCGGGTTCCATGAGCAATTCTGGAAACGTCCCCTTAGGAAGGTCTATTGTTGCAGCAATAGATACTGTTAGTTCAACTCCACCCTAATAAAGTATACATTTGGGCCCATCCTATGTATGTTTGCATGTCTGTGTATCTATAGTGTGCATATATTATACACACACATGTATGTTAAGTGCCTGAGTGTCTTGTTTAAGTGCAATGTTAAGTGCCTGAGTGTCTTATTTAAAATAAATGCTCTCTGGCTTCTTTGGGCATATGGCTACACAGAATCTGATGGTGACCGGGGTTGGGGTGGACAGAGGAGCAGACCTTGAGTGACTAGCTCCTAATTCTGAGAAAGGAAGTTTTTGCTGATGAAAAAATACCAGTTAGGAAAGCAGAAGAGCAAAGCTTAGTCTCAGCTCTGCCTCCACGATCATGTAGTTGTGTGACTGTAGACAAAATGCTGAACCTCTCTGGTCCTCAGTTTCTATCTTGGGAAAAAGTAGGGAGAGTGAGTGTGTGTATGTGTGTGTTCGTTTTTGTTTTAAAATTTTTATTTATTTATGAGAGACAGAAAGAGGCAGAGGGAGAAGCAGGCTCCCTGCAGGGAGTCCAGTGTGGAACTCCATCCCAGGACCCTGGGATCATGACCTGAGCTGAAGGCAGACGCTCAACCACTGAGCCACCCAGGCGTCCCTGTGTGTATGTGTTATACCAGGAATACTTAATGTGCCTTCCAGAATCACAAGTACTGTGATTATGTGAAAATTGACCTACGTTTAGCAGTTGCTGGCTTTCTCCTGCTAGATACTGCAGGGTGCAGCTCATGGACCACCTCACTTTGGAGCGAAAGACTTCGAGTGACTTGTAAGGCTAGCAGATTTGCATCACATTGAACTTAAATAGCTGGACCAGGAATAGGGGAAGGCCATCACCCTTGCCCCCTCCTCTCTCTTGGTTGGCCTTGGCTCGAGACAGCCCTGGAGACAGCCCTGGATTCCAAAGAGCCAGATGGACAGTTGAAGCTGCAGGGCAATGACCCAACCTCTCCTTCAGTTTCCTTTGGAAAGGGGTCTCATGTCTTTAATATAATAGGGACATCCCGAGATAAAAGGAGGCTACATATTTTGAAGGTTCCCTTCTGCTAGTACACAGTAGTTCTCAAACTTGAAACGCACCAGGATCCCTTGGAGGGCCTGCTAAAACACAGATTGCTGGGCCCCACCCAGAGTTTCTGATCCAGTTGGTCCTGGATGGGGCCTCAGTTTTGCATCTCTGAAAAGTTCCCAGGTAATGCTGATGTTGCTGGTCCAGAGATCTCACTCTGAGAACTACAGCTCTGGAATAGTATCAATTATTCATTCAAAAATGGGAGGAACCGGAGGAAGGGAAAGTAGCTTTCAAAATCTTTTTAAAAGGCTTTTAAAATGGTTTTTATATGGAGTCAATTTAAGGATTTTTCATTTATCCTTCTTCTGAAAACCGGGAAGAATCTGAAACTACTGCCCAGAAGACACGATAACATGGACACCAGGAGTGAGGAAAGCCTCTTGGTTGTGACCTACTAAGCTGCCAAGAGTTTACCTTAAAAGAAAAAAAAAATCTTATTAATGCCAAAACAATACCACAGGCTTTAAAACTAGCTTTTGAAATGTGCTCATAGGCTAACGTTTCTGCACACACAAAGGAAATCTACGTGCTTTTTAAAATGAGCCATTTCAACAAATAAATAGATAGATAGATAGATAAATAAATAAATAAGTGAGCCATTTCAGTGAAAGATACCTAGCACAGGGGAATTACTGACTTTGCCAGTTTGGCATTTTACTGGGTGTTTCACAGCCTGTGAGGGAAGGGACAAAAAAGACAAATCGCATAAAACCCTGTATGCCATCCTGACGAAGGTCAGTGAGGAGGAGGGTGGGGTGAGGATGGGTGGGTGTTGGCGGGCAGCCTGGTGAGCCCTAAAACAATGGCCATTAGGCCAGGTAATATAGTTTTCATCTCCTACTTCTCCTAGACAGGCGTTATTAACCCCTCTGTGACTCTGGAGAATCCCTCCCTCCGTTTTCAGGGCAACATCTTGTAATTCCTGGATTCCTTTTCCTAATCAAATAAAGAAAAAGCTACGTACGCATCTCTGGAGGAAAAAGTCTGTATTAAAAGCCAAAAAACCAAACCAAAACAGAAAAAAAAAAAAAAACAAAAAACCACAGAAGTACAAGAAACGCCCACCAGGCCACGTCACTGGATAGATCGACTTGGAAAAGGTTCATAAAGTTCATTTTTAGCCGTAACAATATGTGGGTGTGAAATCCTTCCCATGCCCCTCCCCACCCCTTTTAAATAAATTAAAGAAAAAACAACAAACTTCAAATACTATGTCTGGATACAAAGAGCTTCTCTTACTACAGCAATAGCAATTTGAATTTTTCTTTTTTTTTTTTTTTACCAAAACTTTCATTTAAAACAGTTATTAAATATATAAAACGAATACACAGGATTTGGTCGTTTTCTGCCGTGAATCTAGGGCACGTGGGTGCGGGGAGGGGAGGGCTGGGGGATACAGCGGAGGGGAGGGGGCCCCGGGTTCGCTCCTCTCGGCCTTCCCGGCGGCGGGCGGCGGCGGGCGGGCGGCGGGGGGCACCCCTGGGCGCCCGGGCTGGCACCTGCCCCGCGGGGCGAAGCCGCTGGGCCCCCCGGAGGCCCCCCCCCGGGGGGAGAACTGACGGTCACTACAGCACGAAGCACAGCGGCCGGGTGTGCGCCGGGGGAGCGCGGCGGGAGCGCGGCGGGTCACTTGGCCGCAGCCCCCGAGGTGACGGTGACGGCGGCGGCCGCGGCGGCGGCGGCCGCGGCGGCGGCGGCGGCGGTGGTCCCCGCGGGCACCGCGGCTGGGGCGGCTGGGGCGGCTGGGGCGGCGGCGGCGGTCCGGCGCTGCTCCATGCCGTTGGGCAGGAAGCCGGCGATGATGGGCACCGGCCAGATGAGGGCGGCCACGCTCCACACCACGATGACCAGGGTCATGAAGCAGGCGACCAGCGTGGACTCGATGGGCTTGCGGTTCAGCCGCCAGCCCGGCTCGCCCTGCAGCTCCTCCAGGCTGAAGTCCAGGCAGCAGAAGTGCAGCGGCTCGCCCTGCAGCCACAGCGGCCCGGGCGGCTCCGCGGCGGGGTAGGCGGGCAGCGCGGTGGGCGCCCCGGCGGTGGCGGCGGCGGCGGCGGCGGCGGCGGCGTTGGGCCGGAGGCGGCCCGGGCGGCGGCCGCGCACCCAGCCGCAGCCCACGCACAGGCGCAGGTCCTGCTGCGCGCCGCCCGCCGCCAGCCCCAGGTGCTCGATGAGCAGCGGCGGCCCGACGCGGTGGAAGGCGGCGGCGAAGAAGGCGCGGCCGTGCGCGTTGGTGGAGAAGAGCAGCAGGTCGCACTGCAAGCCCCGCGGGCGGCCCCAGCGCACGAGCAGCGAGCTCAGCATCTGCCGCTGCACGCTGATGTTGCACGGCGCCGCCGGCCCAGCCGCCTCCTCCGGGCCCGGGCGCTCGGGGGGCGCGGGGGCCGGCGAGGCCAGCAGGCGCGGGGCGGCGGGCTCGCGGGCGGACGACGCGTTCACCGAGGCGTTGGGGGGCGCCCCGCCGAGGCCCGGCGGCAGCGGGCAGGCGGCGGCCAGCAGCGCGGCGAGCGGGAGCAGCATGGCCTGCGGCGGGCGCCTACGCGCGCGGGGCGGGCGGCGGCTGCATGGCGCACGGCGGCGGGCCGGAGAGCGGACGGCGGCACCCGGCGGCCGGCGGGAGCGGGGGGCGCTCCCGGCTCCCGGCTCCCGCTCCCGGCACCCGCACCCGCACCGGGCTCCCGGCTCCCGGCTCCGGCGGGGCGGCGCGGAGGCGGCGGCGGCGGCTCGCTCGGCGCGGGGATCCCTCCCGGCCCGGCTGCGTCTGGGGTTCCCCGCCGCCCCCGGCGCGGGGGCCCTCGGACCGCCCGGCTGCTCTGCAGGGCCCGGCGCTCGCCGCGAGCAGGATTCCCCGGCTCGGCTCCGCCTCCCGCGCCTCCCGCGCCGCGCCCCGCCCCGCCCCGCCCCGCCCCGCCCCGCCCGGCCGAGGCTCCGCGGAGGGCGGGGTTGCACGCGAGGGCGAGGCTGGGGCCCGGGCCGGCGCGGGGACGAGCGGAGCGTCGCTAGCGCGGCCGGGCCGGGCCGGGCCTTGGCCGTCCGACTCCGGGCGCAGGAGCAGGCTCCCGGCACAGCTGCGGCCCCGCGGGGGACGATCCCCTTGCGACGTGTCGCCTTAGAGCTCACCTGCACCACTGTCGTTTGCACAAGGGGAAACTGAGGCCGAGCGAGGGCATCCCCCGAGGCCACCCCGCGAGCCAGAACCAGGACTCCGGGCCACGAAGCTGGCTTTCTCCACGGTGGCTCTTAACATCTCAAATCTGCAGACTTTTATCTTTTGATGCGCCTCGGACACACTAGACCCGCTTGGCATTCTCCTCGGGGCAAGCGGAACCCGAGGAAGATGCCAAGAACTCACTCCAGGGAGTCTCGGGGGGAGATGGGCAGGTGCGGCCGCGGGGCCCCCAGGGGGAGCTTCGCTCCCAGGAAGCCGCTCCTCCGGTGCAGAGCCCCCGCCCGGCAGGCAGCGGAGCATCTGTCCTGTAGAATCCGCCACAAGGGACCATTCATCATCCCCGTTAGGAGAGCAGGTTGGGGGACGTCTGTCGAGAATAAGGAGCCACCATCAGATTCGTATTTTAAAACACTTTCCAAGTAATTTGGCCTCTTACCTTTTGGGGGGAAAAATCAGGGATGCCTGTTATGGGAACGATCCTATGCTCTTCCTGAGTCCGACACGGAAAGGGTGGAGGGAGCTGCGAGACGCAGTCAACAAAATGGCCTTCGCGGAGGTAAGTTTCCTGAACAGAACTATACTTTGCATTAGGCATTGTGGCTGAATAGGCTTCTGGAAGCTTTGTCCATTGTTTCTAACAATGAATAAAACCAGGTTGGAAAAGATGTAAACACAGCCTCAAAATACCCGAACCTACCTGGCGTCTTTCCAGCTGGGCAAGTCATCATTCAGACTTGGCCTTGGTTTCCCCACCTGAGCAGCGGAGTCGCTGGTACCTGTGTAGGAGGGATACTCGGATAAATGCACCCAACTCAGTGTCTGTCTGTCTGTCTGTCCACGGAAGTGCTCACCTGAGGGCTGCTATGCTGGACTTACTACCGGTCCTGCCTGAGTTGGCTCTGCGGAAGGGTCCTTGGTTTCGACAGAAAGGGTTAGTTCCCCCTAGGGGATAGGATTCCCCTTTTGTTTAAGCCTTTTGTGCTGGGCAGTGATGCTCCCAGAAAGAATAATGTGCATTTTCATGCTTTTACTAAAAATTACTCTTCCTATAAGCCTTGCATGTCAGGAACAGAATCTGTTGACTGCTGTTGGGGAACTGAGCGGTGTGGCTAGTGAACAGCCCAAGAAGAACACCAGGTAATGTGAGAGTTGGGCGAGGCCCAGTCTTCAAGGTGTGCATTCTAAGCCCGGCCGCTGTGTACAACAGTGGGTGACACTCTCTGGGGTTTCAGCCAGAGGTGGGGGCTTCCCGGCTTTGTCTGGTCTGCGGGGTAGGCAATAACAAAGGGAGAAGACGACAATCTGTTTGGAGGGGGGACAAGTAGTTTCCTGCAAAGTTGTACCACCGTAGCCCCGTGTCCTGGCAACCTGCCCTCTGCCCACTCTTCCAACACGGGCCACAGGCTCCGACACCTCTCCTTCATTCAGAGGCACAGTCAGTTCCTGTGTTTTCTAGGCTGATTTGCTGACTTTTTGGACAATTGGAATTTGGGAAGAAAAGATAAAAATTGTTATTTTCTGTCCTGTTTACTGCTCTTTACCAGGAATAAGAAAAGTACCTAGCACAGGGTAGAGACTCAGAACTAGTGGCATCTCACCTTATGGAGATTGGGTTCCTCCTTTGAGCATAAGAGGGTATGTGATGCAAATCTATTTTATCTTGAGAAAAATGTTCAGTTGAGCTTCTTCTTAAAGATGCATGCTTTGGGGTGCCTGGGTGGCTCTGTCGATTAAGTGCCTGACTCATGATTTCAACTCAGGTCAGATAGAGTCCCACACATCAGGCTCTACTCAACGCCTCTCCTTCTCCCTCTGTTCTCCCCCACCCCCTGCCGTGCTCTCTCTCAAATAAATAAATAAAGTCTTTTTTAAAAAAAAAGAGACATTTAAAAATATTTTATTTATTTTTCATGAGAGACATATAGAGAGAGACAGACACATAGACAGAGGGTGGCTCCCTGCAGGGAGCGCAACGCAGGACTCGATCGATCCCAGGACCCCAGGATCACGGCCTGAGCCGAAGGCATACGCTCAACTGCTGAGCCACCCAGGTATCCCAAGATCCATGTTTTATAAACGTATATGAACATGCTATAACATATTATTAATATGTTATATTCATATAACATAGCTGATATTCTGTGCCATACTCTTTTCCGAATTTCAAATTAGCTCAAATTGATTTGTTCTCGATTTCTCTGAAGGTTCCTTCTTTGAATATATTTATATTTTCTAAGGAGTGAAAATTATTTTGGAAACTGAGTCCAAAGGACTGTCTTTCACACACAATGATCTCCTGTCCCATCCTTCAGTTCAGTTAACAAAATCCTGCTGTGATCATTCAGGATAAACAACACAGGACACTGCAGTTTGGGATAATTTTTGTTTTTTAGCAGTTAGAGGAATACATCATTGGACTTGCACACCTAACTCATGATCAGCTATACGGTATTTATGTATGAGAGATGATACGGGTCTGTACATTTGTGATAATATGGGTTTGTAACATATATAAACAATAGCGTGGGTTTGTAACATTAAAATAAGGGGAAATTTTGTCTGTGTGTTTTATTGCCCTCATAGAATAATAAAAGTGTTACGTATTTTAAAATGTTCAAAACAGGGGCGCCTGGGTGGCTCAGTGGTTGAGCGTCTGCCTTTGGCTCAGGCCATGATCCAGGGTTCCTGGGATCGAGTCCTGAATCAGGCTCACTTTCAGGAGCCTGCTTCTCCCTCTGCCTATGTCTCTGCCTCTCTCTCTCTGTGTCCCTCATGAATAAATAAATAAAATATTAAAAAAATTTAAATAAAAATATGAAAAACATATATCATATGTTATAAACATTCAGTATATTACATTATAACCACATTATATAAAGGTTGGAAAACAGTGAGGAAACAATGATACTCCCAGCTACCTGTTCTCTTTACTTTCCTCTATCTGTGTCATTCTTTTTTCCATTTTGTGTATTCTCTAAAATGTGCAACTATTACTTCTGGGGAAAAAAGAATTATCTTAAAGTCTCACCCCCTTTTGCAACTGTTACTGCTTTGCACTCTTCCCTTCAGCCCCGGGCCAGGGACCTGGAGGGCCAGCCAGGGGCATAGGGTGCGCAACACCCCATCGCTGGCTGAGCAAGCGGCCAGGTTAAGAGTGCTGCTGAGCTACAAGGCAGAGAATTGCTCCTGTGCTCCTGTGTACGGTTCCCGGCCCGCTATCTGATCCATCTCCTACCAGTTTCCCCTTTCCCTCGCCTGCTCTGTCCCAGGCACGCTGGCTTCTTTGCTGTTCCTGGAACATGTGGAGCAAACTCCACTTTTTTTTTTTTTTTTAAGATTTTATTTATTTATTTATCAGAAACACAGAGAGAGGCAGAGACATACGCAGAAGGAGAAGCAGGTTCCCCGCGGGGACACTGATGTGGGACACGATCCCAGCACCCCGAGATCATGACCTAAGCCAAAGGCAGCCACTCAACTACTGAGTCACCCAGGCGTCCTGCGGACTCTGCTTCTGAGCAAACTCAAGGCCTTTGCCCCTGCTGTTCCCTTCACCCCGACACTGCTCTTTCTGACATTTACTTTGCTTGCTCCCGTGTCTCCCTCAGCTCTCTGCTGCAAAGGCAGCTCCCCGAGGAGGCCCTTCCTGGCCACTCCTGTAAAACAGCACCCATCCCCCTGTCCCCACCACTGTCTTCCTTCCTAGTACTCACCATCAGCTGCCATACTGTCTGGCTTTATTCCTTGTTTGATGTCTCTTTATTGGGATGCCTACCCCCCAAAAGCAGGCTTTACCTGTTTTATTCAGCAGGACACTATGTGGCACATAGTAGATGTTCAGTAATCTTTGGTAAGTAAGTGACTTCAAAAGATTGTGGGTCCTGCAGGCAGGCTGTGGGGCACAGTTTAGGGAGTTGAGATGGACAGAGCCACACTGATACCCCAGCAAGGCTGCTGTGTCCCGAACCAGCCTGTGGGCCAGGAGCTGCCCACCTGGCCCTGCCCAGGGCTGGCTGAGGAGCCAGGCCCCACTGGGCAACCACCTGGCTGGGCAGAGTCTGGCATAGAAGGCTGAACTGATCTCACGAGCTCTGCTGCTGAGCAGCACTGAGGGGCAAGAGCCAGTGCACACCAAATTACTAGGAACATTCCAGATGAGCCCAGATCTTCCTTTGATCAATGTAAGGAAGAAAGGCAAATGAGACTCCTTACATTTCCCCCAACCTTATATTTTTATAAAACAAATGGAACTTTCAGGCACCTCTGTGTTGTTCATATAACAGAAAGAGCAAGTTTTTCTACATGGACTGTATCGGTAGAAAACAATCATGGAGGACTTCAAAGAAAATAATTAGTACCAATGCACGTAATTTCATTCTCTTCATTCTCTATGCCCCTGCCCGGTATCAGCTAATTTTCCCTGTCTACTGCCTATGAAGTAAGACAACAAAAACGATCTCTTTGG